CAACACCTGGACGCGCTGAAGGAGCTGCGTAAGAACAAGGACGTAGTATTATTGAGACCAGATAAAGGTTCCGGTGTTGTCCTCATGGATAAACGAGAATACATTGAAAAACTTTCCAGATTGGTGGAAGACCAGACAAAGTTTTCTGTCTGTCATAAAGGAAAAGACGAAACCGAAAAGATAGAGAAAGAACTAGCCGGATGCCTAAGACGACTGAGAGATCAGGGCTGTATAAACAATGCTACATACGAAAAACTAAAACCAAATGGATCGACCATTCCACGCCTCTATGGACTTCCGAAAACCCACAAAGATGGTATTCCAATCCGACCGATTGTGTCGATGACGAATTCTCCGTACCAAGCAATAGCACAATGGCTGGTAGAACTCTTGGAACCCATTCGCATAAGACTCGCTAAACATAGTCTGCGAGATAGTTTTCAGTTTGTGTCCATCATACAGAATGTAAACTTACACAAGAAAACCATGATGTCGCTTGATGTGGTGTCGTTATTTACAAATGTGCCATTACTAGAAACCGTGGGCTTTCTATGTGAATACATTAGAACATCCAACACACAAATAGGCATTCCAGTAGAAGGATTGAAGGAACTGCTACTACGTTGCACTCTCAATGTTCATATTCTGTTTAATGACTGCTTCTACCGCCAGCGAGACGGTATCGCCATGGGTTCCCCACTGGGTCCTGTGCTAGCGGACATATTTATGGCGAAATTAGAAAGCGGGAAACTTGAGAAGACAATAGAAACTTTGGATTATTACATTCGATACATGGATGATATTTTCTGTATAGTGGACGACGATCGTAATGTTTCAGCTATTCTAGAAGACTTCAAGCGTGCTCATAGCTCTCTTGATTTCACAATGGAAAAAGAAGCCGAAAACAAACTACCTTTCCTCGATGTGTTGATCACCAGACGGGAAAATGGAACCATCGAACGACGAGTCCACAGAAAGAAAACATGGAACGGCCAATACACAAACTTTCATAGCTTTGTGCCATTACGCTATAAGAGGAACCTAGTCCGATGTCTAGCCTTCAGGGCCCGTAGCATATGCTCACAGGATACTCTGGAAGAGGAACTAAAACTCATAAAACAAGTACTGCAGGAGAACGGGTATCCAGAGAAGTTTATCTTGAAAAATACTGAACCAACTACACCCGCAGAACGATTTTCTTGCGTCCCAAAGAAGGAACTTTTCGTGAAAGTACCATTCAAAGGAGATACGCATACAGAACGATTAACAAGATCACTTGGAGCAATTGTGAACTCAACATTCCCAGCTGCAAAATTGAATTGTGTGTTTTCCACTTCGCCGATGATCCGAATGCGAGTGAAAGACCGGTTACCTGAGCTGACCTCATCCATGATTATCTATTCGTTCAAGTGCGCATGTGGCGCATCTTACATAGGTCGCACGGCCAGGCGCCTGTCTCAACGCATCAAGGAGCATCACCCGAGGTGGCTGAGTCACGGGAAGACGGGCACAATCAACAGTTCTATTCTTAGTCATCTAATCGATAGTGGTCACAGGATTGACCCGAATGACTCATTCAGTATTGTGTATCGTGTTCCCCCCAACCGATCAAAGGCAGCCCGACTGCGGACCCTGGCCACGGCTGAAGCGATCGCCATACGTCTACTAAGCCCGGATCTGTGCGCGCAAAAGCGACTGGTTCAGGCACTTCAGTTGCCTTGGCCAAAGACGGAGCATCCGAAACGAGAAACGACCTCTGAAAACCCACTAACAGTGGTCGATTCAGCATCACCACACACTAACTGACAAACACCACACCATCTCCCCCTCCCCCCCACACTACTGTAAAAATGTCCTTCAACCCAGCCAACGGCCAATCAAATGCATAACTGTCACCTATATGATGTGTAAGAGCAAGATTAGGAATCATTGAAAACAATTGTTCGCTCTCCAATGTTGTCTTTTTAATGTGACCATGGGACTGTTCAAACAATTCAGATCTACCAAGTCACCCTCTGTGGTAAAGGAATTGAATGCGTTCCTGAAGTTTTCCACACGACTTGCGGAGGCTACGACACATGTGAAATTCCTTAAAAATTGTGTTAGAATCAATGAATACCCCAAACGATTTTGGAAACAACTGCGCCGAAACCGGATTTACCCTAATAGTAAAACCCTTCGACGGCATGCTTTAAGTGTTTGTGACTCAGTGAAATCCAAAATAACGGAATTCGAACGGAATGTTTCACAACGACAACATTATGTGGACAATCTGCCGGAGGAGGAAATTTCCGAATTTAATGAATTCGTAAGTCGAATCTGTGCACTCCGCGTTCAAATTACTCGTGATCGCTTGATTAGTGGTATTAATCCCCTAAAGCCACCAGTCGCCTTTCCGAGCAATCCTGATAGGCTGGTACGCAATTACTCCAGTATCACTCTAAATCCAATCTTGATGGAGGCTCTTTCTTTGGGATGGAAGTTCTGCTGTCCTGTTAGAAAAAACGATAGACTTGATTTGGAGGTACAATTTGAAAATTTATTGAGTCAAACTAAGGACCTGACACCCAGAACGGATATCGATTTAGAACGATTCAAAAGTGTGCTTGTGGCGAGCTGCTACAGCTATCGTAAAATTCAGATACAAAGTCGTGGACTGATCACCAGACAACACCTGGACGCGCTGAAGGAGCTGCGTAAGAACAAGGACGTAGTATTATTGAGACCAGATAAAGGTTCCGGTGTTGTCCTCATGGATAAACGAGAATACATTGAAAAACTTTCCAGATTGGTGGAAGACCAGACAAAGTTTTCTGTCTGTCATAAAGGAAAAGACGAAACCGAAAAGATAGAGAAAGAACTAGCCGGATGCCTAAGACGACTGAGAGATCAGGGCTGTATAAACAATGCTACATACGAAAAACTAAAACCAAATGGATCGACCATTCCACGCCTCTATGGACTTCCGAAAACCCACAAAGATGGTATTCCAATCCGACCGATTGTGTCGATGACGAATTCTCCGTACCAAGCAATAGCACAATGGCTGGTAGAACTCTTGGAACCCATTCGCATAAGACTCGCTAAACATAGTCTGCGAGATAGTTTTCAGTTTGTGTCCATCATACAGAATGTAAACTTACACAAGAAAACCATGATGTCGCTTGATGTGGTGTCGTTATTTACAAATGTGCCATTACTAGAAACCGTGGGCTTTCTATGTGAATACATTAGAACATCCAACACACAAATAGGCATTCCAGTAGAAGGATTGAAGGAACTGCTACTACGTTGCACTCTCAATGTTCATATTCTGTTTAATGACTGCTTCTACCGCCAGCGAGACGGTATCGCCATGGGTTCCCCACTGGGTCCTGTGCTAGCGGACATATTTATGGCGAAATTAGAAAGCGGGAAACTTGAGAAGACAATAGAAACTTTGGATTATTACATTCGATACATGGATGATATTTTCTGTATAGTGGACGACGATCGTAATGTTTCAGCTATTCTAGAAGACTTCAAGCGTGCTCATAGCTCTCTTGATTTCACAATGGAAAAAGAAGCCGAAAACAAACTACCTTTCCTCGATGTGTTGATCACCAGACGGGAAAATGGAACCATCGAACGACGAGTCCACAGAAAGAAAACATGGAACGGCCAATACACAAACTTTCATAGCTTTGTGCCATTACGCTATAAGAGGAACCTAGTCCGATGTCTAGCCTTCAGGGCCCGTAGCATATGCTCACAGGATACTCTGGAAGAGGAACTAAAACTCATAAAACAAGTACTGCAGGAGAACGGGTATCCAGAGAAGTTTATCTTGAAAAATACTGAACCAACTACACCCGCAGAACGATTTTCTTGCGTCCCAAAGAAGGAACTTTTCGTGAAAGTACCATTCAAAGGAGATACGCATACAGAACGATTAACAAGATCACTTGGAGCAATTGTGAACTCAACATTCCCAGCTGCAAAATTGAATTGTGTGTTTTCCACTTCGCCGATGATCCGAATGCGAGTGAAAGACCGGTTACCTGAGCTGACCTCATCCATGATTATCTATTCGTTCAAGTGCGCATGTGGCGCATCTTACATAGGTCGCACGGCCAGGCGCCTGTCTCAACGCATCAAGGAGCATCACCCGAGGTGGCTGAGTCACGGGAAGACGGGCACAATCAACAGTTCTATTCTTAGTCATCTAATCGATAGTGGTCACAGGATTGACCCGAATGACTCATTCAGTATTGTGTATCGTGTTCCCCCCAACCGATCAAAGGCAGCCCGACTGCGGACCCTGGCCACGGCTGAAGCGATCGCCATACGTCTACTAAGCCCGGATCTGTGCGCGCAAAAGCGACTGGTTCAGGCACTTCAGTTGCCTTGGCCAAAGACGGAGCATCCGAAACGAGAAACGACCTCTGAAAACCCACTAACAGTGGTCGATTCAGCATCACCACACACTAACTGACAAACACCACACCATCTCCCCCTCCCCCCCACACTACTGTAAAAATGTCCTTCAACCCAGCCAACGGCCAATCAAATGCATAACTGTCACCTATATGATGTGTAAGAGCAAGATTAGGAATCATTGAAAACAATTGTTCGCTCTCCAATGTTGTCTTTTTTGAATATATAAAAATTATTTGTAATTTGGGGATCAAAAACCAAAAAAAGTGAAAATTTACATGGGTATGTTTTATCCTCAGAGCGCAGTAGGTATCTCATCAGCCGACCTATTATTGGATACCCCCCATTACACGCTGAAAACGGCGAAAAATCAACCTCTGGAAACGATTACCTGTGCAGTCAAACTTGAAAGAGCAGAATACGCTGGCTGAACCTATGGAATATCAACGACTATGGAGCATTGCAGTCAGGTCGTTTGATCGAACAAAGGTGCAAACTTGAACGTACTGGCTTGTATCTCGAATTCCGGTGTACTGAAATTCGGCTGTTGTTCTAAAATTACCTCGGTAAAATTCAATGAACTCATGGAAGCTTGCAAAGAGAAGCTGAACAGGGAACGGCCAAATACGAATGCCGTATTCATTTTTGACAATGCCTCTGTCCGCAGTTCAGCGACCGATGCTCCGCTGTGTAACCGTCATGCGGCAAACTACCAACCGCCGTACAGTTCATTTCCCAATCCAATCCGGGTACTCTTCAGTAAATTCAAACGGGTAAATGTAATCAAAAATTTATTTCTCGTGTTCCAATACATGAAGAATTGGTTTGATGAAAACACGGCTTTGGTTGCACGAATTCCTGATGGGTTCACGGTTGGGAGGTACCGGCAGCAACTTTTTCTGTCGAGATTTCACCCATGAATTGCGCTTCCTACCACCGGCATTCATTTCCATTCTTTGAGGCAGCATTGAATCTCGAGACTATATAATGATATTCTAAAAACACTCCCAATCGTGTTTGCTATTGAACTTATTCTTATTGGTGTGCGATGGGAGGGAGTCCATTTGGAAGCACGCTAGGTTAGTTTGATTTGGCCGTCAGCTTTGATGCACTACAAGGAGCAAATCAACCGTTTAATGACGTTAGCTAAATTTGATTTGATGTCAAGTGTATTTTTGGTGAGAAGACACTATACAGTGGTGAGCAGATGAAACTACGATGGGAACCGATGTGCCACGCAGAGAACTATCATACATCGATGAGAAACTTTAAGCAGAGGCTGAGTACCGACAGGAAATGTTGTAGTTCTGTTGATCTTACTCTTCCTTCGTGTTTACTTTGTCCACCGTTGATTGCTGATTTGCTGAATTTGTCCAATCAGTTGGTTGTGAAGTCAACAGATATGACACATTCACCGTTGCACAATCAGCTAAGCTGCCTATGCATGTTTGTGTTGAACTAACTGCAAGTCGGGACAAAACTCAGCCATGTGCATATCATTAAAAAATTTCAGTTATGAACATGCGTGGCATAAACAATCAATCAACAGTTGGTGCTTTCTTAAAGAGCACGTATGTGAATGTCTTTCGGTGTGAGGGAATGCAGGACAGGCAGTCAGCAGTGGTAACATCAACCGGTGAGCGGTGGCACACCTGGCTTGATGTGTACGAACATGAGGGAAACGGGCAAAAACATCTTACTCAGTGTGTATATAACCGTGGGAAACATGATTCAAAGCAAAATTGTGAGATCAATCAGCTTCACTGCAAGTTAATCCAATGACAGTACGATAGTACATCCAAATAAGGAATGCAAAATTGAATGTGGACCTTTGAGTATTCGAGGCCATTCGGTAGACCCAGTGTCTGTTCTTTACTGGTGACCTTGTCTGAGAATGCATTACATATTTCTTCAGACACACTTTCTCGATTTTCACTGTTTGCCTCGATTAGTTGTTGATTAGATAGTCGCTTCAACCCTCATCCTTCACTATCACATGGCTAGACCCTACCCTTTCCTAAATGTCTCACCATAAGTTGGATTTCCTGAAGCTACGAAGACCACGATGCCTAAATACCAACATTTCTCATATCTTCGCAATGACTGTATGACGCTCAGATATTAGGTGAATACTGGGACGATATTACAAATGTATGGTTGAGTAACTCCGGTAGAAGGAAAATGAATGCTTTCGTGACGTCACGTAACCGTCATACAGTTACCGGTTCATAACAGTTGTTCCATGTTATAGTGTCGGAGACAGGCATTGTGTTCCGTTTATTCGGTCACATGATGTTGTGAGGCTTATCCATGCGCCATGGTCATTCGCTCCTTCCTCACTCCTTCTCCTCCTCCATCTGTTTTAGACTCGTGCATCAGATACGTGTTTGCACTGCCCTACTCCATCGATGATTTGCGACTTGTTTCGTGTTAGACCGATATTGAATAACAGCTTCCGTTCGCTTGAGACATTCTTGTGCTTGTACGCTTTCGTTCTGCCTACTGATTTTGGAAATGCAACAACAATAACTTACCTCAGAGGCAGCTCCGATAGCCTGGTGGTAGTAAGGTGTGCGTGACTCACAATTATGCACCCCGCGTTCCAGTCCCATTTGTGGGACTCCATGGACGTGCACTGCAACTGGTGATTCCCCAAAAGGGTGGGAACAGAGCAGCTCGGTGTTTTTCTCTTGATTTCTACCGGTGAGTCAAGCGTTATTGCTGCATGATAGATCATTTCACAAACTACTTCTGAAGTTAATCAAAATTACCGAAGTTATCTATACTTCTATTAATTGAAAGCTGAATACTTCATGTTTAACAGCAAGAGCGTAATTAAACCTCGTTTAACTGTGGCAAATGAGTTTCCAGTCTTGTTTGAAAAGCTACTGACATCTCCGGGTTTCCTATGAGTAGCGCCTGAGTGCTTTTTCGGTTTTAAAGGTGTTCATTACAGTATCACTCGATACTTGATGGTACTCACATTTTCATTCCACTAAACCACTGAGAATTCTTTTCTCATTCAGGCGAGCCGACAAACTTGGAGTGTGCATACTGTGGTGCCGGCTTTTCGAGTGCGTGGGACTTGATGCACCATTGTCACAGTGATCATGGGTTGACCATCTATTCATTGCCAACGGAGTCGCATGCATCCAACTTCTCAGGTGGTCGGTCATATAAATCGGACAGCTCTGTAACCACAGTATCTGTGGTATCCAATCAGAGTGCATGATATCAAAAAGGAACGGCTAATCAAGCTTCAGTGGAGTGTACTCTCGGTGAGGACTCCGCGGATGCTTCGACCGCAAAAGACGACACGATTTCCAATGCGGAGGGGGATTCACAACAGAGTGGAACGGGGAGTGGAGTGAGTGACTGGGAAGCAGACGATGAGTACGACGATGTACCTGAGGTGACTGAGGTTTCCGAATCTTTTTCGCGTCACGAAGACAATGATCCGAACCAGAAAGATGCGAGAATTCAAGTGGAAGCCGATGTCGAGGCTACAGGTAAATCACCGGAGCCTGGAACCCATACGTCTGAGGTGGAACCGATCACTTACGAACCGCATTTTGGTAATACAGACGCAGTCTCTCCATCATTGTTGTCGACGACCACTGTCCTCAGTGCTGGTCAACACAACGAACATATTGCAAAACAAGGAACCGACTTCAAAAAACCTGAGCCGCCGTTGCACCACAGAAGCCACCGAGGGGAATATGGGCGACACGAAACCATCGCAGATGATGACAATGATGAGTCGGACGAGGAAACCGGTGCCGAATCGAAGCTGGCTCGTAGCACTTAGGCACGTTTTACGTATATGGTGACCTTGATACAGACCATCTTCAAAAAATGGGGGTAGCAGTCATCATTTCTGTGTTCTCTTATTCTTTTATTCATCACACAGAGGTTGCTGGTGGTAGTAGTTTACTATAATCCTTAATGTTCTTTGGACTGCTGCCAGCATTGATTGTAATAAGAACGTTGTCCAGATAAATGTCTCGCTGAAAATAGAATTACCATAATAAAATGCAGGCCCAATTCTGTTCGTTCCCTGGCTGCACAATATGAATGCGGCCCCTTAGATCATAGAGTAGATAAATGTTGGCAGTCAATGGTAGACACCTGACAGATTAATTCCGGAAATGAACATATTCCCAATGAATGCTGTGAACCGGTAATTATGCGGATTTACACAAAAAGTGACAGATTCTCCTGTGAAAATCACAGGTATCAGCTTGGTAAATAGTCGCATTCAAACTGCTCGCCGGCAAAATTATTATTAATATTATTATTGTTATTTTTATTGTTGTAATTATTATCACTATTATTATTGTCCAGCACTCGTGAACAGTATTCGCCTAAGAACCCCAAGATGGTTTCAAACCCGATTGTGGTTCAATTGACGATATATTCACAACACGACAGAGTTCCGTACACAAACACCTTATATAAATCCACAATTTCTGTCTTCCTTGATTTGAAAGCGACATCCAATTCAATCGACCACAGTTCTCTGGCACTGCCTCTCTACGCAGTCTGTACCGGATGAATTCATGACTTTGGATCCTTGTATGCGAACGGCCGAAACCGAGTTCACACGTATGGCGATATTTCAGCTGAGTTCATCATAAGCAACAGTGTTCTCCAGAGGTGCCCTTTGTCACTCTTCCCTTTCAAATGTGTGCTTGAGATGGTTTTGGAAATAGCCCGGTCCTTAAGTCTGACTCGGAATACACGGCCAGTGTTGTTTTCTGAGTGAAGATCCGATTAAGTTGTTAGTTTCTATGGGTTGTATGAGCAGCAGTGCAGCAATGTTTGAGATGCATTTTACACCTGCAAAGTATTAAATGGTACCGGCTTTGGTACAGCGGCTTAGAGCGTTTGCTTCCCACTTCGGAGGTCGGAGGTTTGAATCCTTGCCATCACCGGTTACTTTGGTGGTAGATGACTATCCACTGTTGTCCGGCACGCCACTACGCGTGACCTATTGGGACTTTATGTGGTTTCTTAGCCCCAGTCTCGGGATCTGATTGTCGGTTATATCCAGTAGTGTAGTGGGCCTTCACGGCTATTAGGTACACCCCTTCCATTGCACTTATGCGAAAGAATGTAATAAGTAGGACTGATTTGACCCTATAGAAAGCATTGTCCTCGCAGGCGGAGCCTTTGATGAAGTAGATGATTTGTTATTTCATTGTCAGGGCGTATGGAGTATCTGAGAGGGATAACACTTCTCAGTTGGTAGACTGTCAAGTCCTCTGAGGTATTTTCTATCTCTTAGGTCTCCACCATTTACCCAACTCTCGCCTGGGGTTCCACAAAGCTGGAGCCGCACCGGCAAACTGCGTAACGGGCGGGCCAAACCAGGCTGAGGGTAACCAAGGTGAGATGGCGCCCAGCATATTAAGACGGACACTCTTGTACAGGCGGACGAGATACATTGAGCCCAATGGCTGCCAAGGAAATTTGGCCAGTCAACAAGGTTGCCTAGACTCCTAGGACCCGACAAGTAGCACTTGGCTACGCACGGGCTGGAAGTGCCACCTTGAACAAAAACCAAGTGGCTCTGGGGACACCACTTCATACACTATTCCCAAGTCTCTTCATGGATTCTGTTTCTACATTTCGTTCTCATCATGCTACGGCGCCCCAAGTAAGCGACGCACCCTGTGTCCCTTATTGGCCGGGGTAACCCAAACACGATTTGGGAACCTGAACCTGAACCCAATTTCACGAGTGCAAGTAGTCTGCTGGAACTTGAAAACTCTCCTAGATAAAGGTAGCCAGTGCATATCCATGCGCGCACTACGGCTGCGGGATTGACGTAGTTTGTCTATCCGAGGTACGCCTACCCAACTCCTGCGGCCAACATATTCAAGTCTATCAAATGGACGTATCCTACTGGATGTACCTTAGTGGGCCCTGGACAATTCTGGGCTTCATGGAGTTGCTATGACATGGAACAATCGAGCTCACAATGCCTTGATCTCTTAGGTACCAGTCCCGCTAAGAATCGTCATAGCATGGTTCAGGAGCATTTCATTTAACGTGACCGTGATTGCAGGCCTACTAATTTCAAGAGATCGGGAAGTCCGCACGGGAGCAGCATATAAGTATACTCAACATTTACTGGGGAAATTTCGCCTCGGCGAGCGGTGCGAAGATAGCGACCACCGGGTCACGTTTGCAGACCTCAGTTGACTGGTCGTCACCAGTACCTGCTTCCGGCATCCAAAGTGGCACCTGCTGACTTGGTATTCTAACGACAGCAGGACAGCGCACCAAATAGGCTACATCGTGGCCCGCCTTCGTCGGGTGTCATCGGTAGAAAACTGTCGGAAATACCAGGGTGGCGTAAGGAGAAGCGCCATTGGCACGGACTACACACCAGGGACGTGAAACTCCTCAATTTATCTAAACTATAGCCTTCGCCGAGAAGCTACATGCTCAATAATATTGGTCTGAATTTGCAGGCCGAAGGGAAAGATCAGCCACTGTTTGCGACCCTGGGAAGCTTTTCTGACGCATACGCAAACCATTGTGGTCTCGTAGCAGAATAAGCTCTCACACAAAGATGCGTATATACCGAGCTACCGTCCTCCCATTTCTTACGTACGCGTGCGCAACCTGGCTGTTGAGAACAGACGATACAAAAAGAGTGGAAAGCTTTGTCCACTTTACTCGTCCCTCCACTAAATTCGCCTACAGTGGTCCTCCGCCGACCCGGAACGGAACATAAAATAAAGAGCCTACTGGTATCATCCTGATCAGACTAGAAATATGGCCTTGGAGACCAACTGAAGACATGGGTGAGGACTGTCAGGGCAGACACGGGTCGCTTAGGCCTTCAGTCCGTCCCCGGAGAGCGCGACTGGCCCATGGATGTGCATATCTTACTACAGACCGAAACGCTTGGACAGCGACCGTCGGAGACATCCGAGAAGGTGACCTATCCCCTCTCAGGAGATAGTCGCATAAAATGATAAACGAAACGACCTGATTGTCAGCCACCGAATAAAGTGTTATCACAGATACGTAAGGCACGTTTGGTTTTTATCACTTTGATCAACCTATGACGGTTTGTCGATCAAGAATCTGGTCTACCTCGTTGCAGTAAGGTCCGTCCTTTCAAACTGTAACGGAGAATGCTGTAGCAACAGAATGAGCTGGATGTCAAACCGATCGGCCAACCAGTCAATAGCTACGGACCAAAGAAACAGTGAATATGTTGAAAGCGGCCAGCAGCAGACAAAAAGAGCCCTGATGAATTTCAAATGAAGCTCAGAAGGATCTCAGACAGTCAGTAAGATAGCCCACTGAGGGAGACACTGATGAAGCCGTAAACGGAGCAATCGGACCAACGAAGGGTAATTGGTGTGCAAGAAAACCAACCCAGTGGTCAAAGGTACTTAACTAGAACGAAGCTGAAATGCTCAGGCAGCCGGAGGATCGATATTCTTAAAGCTAGGACTGCGAAAAGAACTCTTTTAACCGCTGTACATCATTACCAATGTGAAGTGTTTGCCTACTCAAATACAGATGTGCCTCACCCGTCTGGCTTTCTTTGTTACAATACGGCTCAGAAATAGCCGCTTCAAGAGGAATATATCGCCAGACTGTTAGCATTTGAACATCAGCGTCTTCACATCATTGCCCGGGTACAGTGGGATCACCGTATCAGAAGGTGTAGGATGTTTGTGTTTAGAGGTCAATCTCTAGAGCAAGTGCTGAACGTAGACAGCCTGAGTGTTTACGCATGTCCGCAGGTAGACATCCTCGGTATACTTTGTTCTCCATGACATATAGTGATTGAAGAGTAGGTCGAAGCGGTCTGTTCGTAATACGGCAAAAAATACATGAAGACCAATGTACTCGGTCGAGTAGGTCTTGTTAGGCTTCTGGGCTGGGGTCTGCAGGATCCACCCACTACGTGGTTGCGGCCTTCAGTTGGCATGGCTAGGTGCCGCGGTCCGTGAGGTACTTGCATCCAAACATTTTCTTCGCTTTCGTGATTTTCATTTATGACAATGTACTTGTTTCCACAGCGGCATTTTGCGTGTATTTCACTTGTTCCTGTGGAACAATGTATATCGGCCGCACGCCAAGTCGTTCGTCTGAACTCATCCGTGAGCACCACACAGCGCGGTTGAGGACTGGAGCAATTAAGTCAATTACCAGTGCAGTCGATTCACACCTTCCTGAGACTAAGCACACGGTGAACGTGAATCAAGCTTTCCACCTCGTGTATAGGGCCCGAGGTCGGCCGTAAAGATAGATGAGAAGTCGCATTTTTGCCACAGCGGAAGCGGTTGGGATTCGCCTCCAAAACACCCCTTTATGTGCCCCGACGTTTGTGCATGCCTTTAGTCTACCCGGCTCCACTCACCACCCAATGTTGGGTCGGAGAACGTCTGAAAATTTACATACTGAGAATGTGTTAGTCCATCCACACCTGGTCTCTGGATAATCTTGTGCCACAATGGGTGTGAACAATGACCCCTGACGCTACTTTGTTGATTGTATTTCTTATGCATTTAGTCATACATGCTGTGTTGTATTGGCATGAGTAAGGATCACCGAAAACCTGCTTGTTCGCCAACCTTTGTTTTCGAAACGTGCTCTCCGGGGTTTTTGTGACAACCTTGTTTTCTGTTTATTTACTGTTTGTTCCCCTATTCGTTTCGCTCTGTGCTGGACGATGTTGTAGAGTGACAACCATAAACAAATCACAGATGTGTGAGGTTAGTGGCTAACAGAATTGAACTGAACTGAGTCGTACGCACGATGATAACTGTTTCGATGTCTACTACATATTTTTCACTTACATCTTTGGGATGTATTTTGTCTTTTCGTGTGTGTACTCATAGATCGTTTCAGACCACCAGTGTTTCACTACTTCTCGTTCCTTGGTTCACTGGAAATACTGAGTTCTGTCGGTTTGCAGTTCATCATGAGGTATCCATGCTGGGGGTTTTGCTACAGTACAATTCCCTAATATTCTTAATTTAGGAGGGGGATCCCCGTCATTGATCGAAAAGGAGTGTTTCTTTTAGTATTAAAGGGAAAGGGTGTGGGGTGTGGTTATTGTAATTAATAATCACTTCGGTTTTATTGATCATAACTAACGCTCTGTGAACTCGTTGTTTTTCGATACTATTGGCCTCTGTTACATAAACTGATTCGATTCACGGCTTCTTTCGTATAATTTCAGCTACCGCATCCTCACCTCTGTTTGACTGAGAATACAATGGGATTCAATCGGTACCGCATTTATCTCCTCTAACGCTGTTGTGAACGAGATCCATCACTTTCCCTTCCCTGTCCATCATCTCGTTCGGATACCAATCCATGCCCTCCATTGCTATCATCATCTTTGGACTGGATTTTCGGCCATCCTTTTTGTTCTCTTGTATTTGGTTTCCGGGCCTCGTACAGTCGGCCAGCGTTACTCTACGCATGTCTATTCTTTTAAATGTGTCTGCTTCTTTTCGTGTTCTCCCTCGTCGCTCTCGCGTGTTTGTTCATCCGGTTGTACGTTTGGGGACGCGCATCATACGGAATGCAACTGTTCAATCACTCACTCACCCACTTCCCTATCCTCACCTTGTTTCTAGTTCTTCACTGCTCTGTTCATCAGTTCAGCACTTGTTTAAATAAATTGATCACTTGTTAGGACTTCGTATCGTAGTTCTTCAAAGAAAGAGAGTATTCTGCGGGGGGATCGACAAAATTAATTTCGAAATTATGGTTTTTCCATACTTGCGTGGGCTGTTGTATTTGATTTGTGTAATAGAAAAATAACGATGTCCGCTTTCTCTCAACATGGTCATCTACAAAAGTGACCTGGAGAAAATGCACGAAAAGCTTAACCAGTGGGCTTGACCAAGGAGGACGTATTAGGCTGTTGGTGTGAGTCCGGGTAGTTAGAAGCATCGGGTGAAATGGCCAGGGGCCGCGGTCGGTGGCATAGTTTCGTTCAAACTCTTGCTCTGTTTATATGATTTCCACTTATGTCTTTCGGTTTAGTTTGCAAAGGACTTTGTGTGGCTAGAGCCAATCGTGTGTCCAGATAGTTGTGTTTTCTGCACGTTTCTGTAGCTCACAACACTGTGTTTTCGGGACGGGAGCAGTTGCCTGCGTGCCCTGATACAGACGCTGGCAGGGATTTGTGGGTCTGCGATTTTGCATTGGAAATCCTACGCTGCTTTTTGAATCGCGCGCGCGGCCTCGGCTCGAGAAGTCGTTTTTGTTTGTGTATTTATTTGTTTGGTTCTCGACCGGACGATGCATTGAGTGAACAAACGAAACCGGAGAATAGTGGTTGATATATTTGAACTAGACTGAATATCTTGCAAGGTTAGTGAACGTATGAGAGGATTCGATTGGTTGTTCATACTATGTCAGTTTTCCATCCATCTTTGAAAATCACTGGAATTACTAGACGTGTGCTTTACAAAATCTACCCCTCCTCCAGCGGTAAATAGGGTTTTGGAACCTAATCAACGTTGTTCTTCATGGATTCACATATATCACATCGAATGGACCATATAATCACTTTGGAAATCCAAGTTTGTTAGGTAAGCCTGATCGGGAATCCTATATACAACCCACAAGGGCAAACCAATACCGAAATATCTCGGATAGCATAACTACATTATGGGAAATATAAAAAGAAACAGGAACTTAAAATAATATAAACCAAAATATCTCGTAAATCCTCTTCATCGCAACTCCTAAAACCAATCACCTAAAAACGCCAACCACAGTGAAACCAAAAGAAAGCATACGGCGAAACTAAGAACAGCGACCAAATCCACACTGAAAGGCAAAGTCATACGACTAATTCGCAGACAATTCAGGTCCATGTTTGCCACATGAATTAGGCCACTCAGGCAGCTTCTTGGTGAGTCTACTTGTATGAAAACTTCAACTTCAGACGGATACTACCGTCGCAGACATAAACCACGATCCATAATGAGCGTCTTCCGAAAATAAGAAACTCCATCGACGATAAAAGATTAGCAAATCAAGATGAAATGTTCGGTTTTAGTGTGCCGGAGCCCGTGCGATTGGTTCCGTCCCTTATGCTCGTCCGTCCAGCTGACGCGTACACGTCAGCGGCTTACTACCAATATTGCGATTGATGCTCATTTGCCCATATCCCGTCTCTTACTCCTACAGATAGCACATTAATGAGAATCGAAAGAAGACAATTCGCGTGACAAGGGTATTTATTTACCTTTGTCTAACACGTACGTGAGACACTAGTTTTTATATCATACAGCGAGAAAAATAATAAACTGGATTGGTTTGAGGGAAGGAGAAGTCTGTCGGTTAGTGCCAAGGTGAACAAATATATTTTTTCAGTCGTTTTTGTACAAAAAGCGCCGACTGATGCATCATGATGAGCATCGCTTCGCAGAATGCCGCCAGCTTCGACTTCGGATTGCACAGTATAACCGTGACGGATTTAGTCCGGTCAATCTCATGACCTGATGCAATTAAGTGTCTCGCAATCGAAGAAGCCGGAGATTCGATTTCATTCTGTGCGACCGCAGTGGGTTCCACCATGGATTTTGCCAACCATTTGAGTGTGTGCTCAGACACTCGTTGAACCAAGAAGTTATCCGTTCTGCCAATGTGTGCGTCACCGCAGCAGCGAGTGAACTGATAGACCACATGCCAAACATTGGGATCGACAAGATTGTTTGACTGACTTTGGAAACTTCACCTTTTGGTGGTCTGCAACAAACGTAGTTGAGCCGCTGCGTATGAAAACTTTATGAATAAATTGAGATTCCCATTCATTTGATTAAATACATGGTCACCTTCAAGTGGTAAGATGTTGATGATATTTTAGTGTTTTCGAAAGAGGGACGTTTCCATCCTTTTATTACCACCATAAGCTCTATTCATTCTAATCTGTTACTCACGAAGAAGAATGTGCTAATAGTCCACCTTTTTTAGATATTCTAGTAACCAGATGTCCGGATGGAACTTTGCAACGGAGTGTTTATCGCAAAAAGACTTGGAGCAATCGCTGTTTAAAATCCCCTAGCTTTGCCCCAATGGCCTACAAACGTGGATTAGTTCGAACTCTCTTCAACAGATCAGAGAAAATCTGCACCGGAGATCAAGCGCAAAAAGAGGAGTTCATAAAAAGGACGTTGCTGGCCAATGATTATCCCGAAAAGTTCATCGAACATCACCGAAAGCCAAGTAAAGCGTGCAAAAAACCAATTATGGTCGAGAAAAGCAACTTTATATATTATATATATGTATATATCTATGTAACTTACCAACAATTAAACCATTATATATTTAGGGGAAATTCGAGAGACCAAGTTCGGCTCACTCTTTCATTTTCATAACTCATATAGCATAGGCTGTTGCGGACATGAAACGGGGAATGCATTGTCCACAGTCCCACATTTTTTTAAATTTTCTATTGTACATAATTTTTATTACTACATTAAATTGATGAACACTTCTTGACGAGCCGGAACGTGTTTACCGGGATGTGTTCTCTCTGATTCGTATTGTGAAAGTCTTTGGCATGTACGGCTAAATGCGTATTTTCGCATACGCTGTTCCTTTTTAGTGCTTCTACATCTATGTGGGATCCATGTTGCAATCGTAGATATCCAACTCGACTGATGTTAGAGCACCTGACTGAAAGCCACGATATTCTCTTTCGAAGCATCGATTGCCTATGTGCTCCGTTCCTTAACTGTTCACTGGTAATGACTAGAAAGATGGAAGCCACCTCATGTTTATCTTATCCGAGTATATTTTGGTTTAATAACATATCCTAGCACATATCAATAATTCTTTTTTTTCCTATAGAGCTACTACAAGTGTATCAAATGAACTATGGATTTCACAGTGAAAAATATGTTGAAATCAATATAATCTGCATTACGGCAAATGATTTATGATTCACTAGCAGTCTCTATAATAACATAATTGATCTCGATCGGCCTACTTCTGTGGCGGAAAGTAATCTCTAATTGACATATACCAGGTTTTTGAGTTATTTTCATCAACAATTTATTCCGATATCCAGTGCGACAAGGAAACAATATTCCAAAGTGAAGTAAGAGCATAGATATGGTTCAGGTTGATGCTCACCCCAGACTGTGGTATAAATATGACACTAGTTTGCCACAGTAGCTCAGTGAAGCTCGTATGACAAATGTTAACTGGCTCCATGATCACCGTGGAGAATTAAAAAGCAGTTTCAGTTCAATGAAGATTTACAGTTCTAGCAACATTTCTCGGTTCCATACACCACGCTAAATTTCAGTACGACCAGTCACAATCCACATTGTTTGGTGCATGTACATTTCGTGCAACATAGCACTTTGCACAGCTGACTCATTTCATCGTTGTCCATACATGCACAGATTGACGTGTGTTCATGTCTCGTGATACTCGGGTATGCAGTTCACATGAACGTCGAGTAGTTGCACTGGCTGAAGTCATCAAAAACGAACCGCATTCATTTTTACCCACCAACCACTCACATCTGTTACGCTAGATTTCTATGTGCAACGTTCCCAAAAGTAAATTATGACACATTAGGTGTGTTCAAACACCATGCCACGGAAATCCAACCCAAAGCAACCGGAACACATTCGATTATTTCAACATCGTCATGTTGCAAGTATCCCATCCATTTAGTCACTGATCTTTGTTAAATCTGAGGAACCAACCACCGTGAACCGATTGTTTATTGGGTCCGAGTTGAAGGTTTTCATGTGCATTTCTGTAATAGTCAAGATCTCAAAAACACAGAAAGATACCAGCTAGGATACAACCTGCCCCGCTCACCTGTTATCCGGTTTGGGATCTTTCAAGATTTCTGGTAAGGACGAGGATCGGGATCACTTGGTCGAACGACGTCGACAGAAAGATTTCATGCTATGATGGACCAGTATCAATAGAATCGATAACCATAATGACCGCGAGAACGACAATGCTCCTAAAGTAATCATGGTTCCTTAGTGCGAGCCTTTTTTCCTTGTTTTCTTCTATGAACTTCGTGAATATTTTCCTATTCAGAAATGGGCTTTTACTTGTCCTGTGTCTAGTTCGGACGAAGTCACTGTCGTTGCTCGTGGTTTGTGCAATGCGACCGACTAGGAACATATTGCTTTACCGAGACGCTGAATACTAACTATGGATGGTTTCTTACCAAAATGTTGAGAGCATCATGGATACAAAACAATAATAA